TGAATCATGCAAACAAGAAAGGCAAACAACAACATAACTCAATAGAACAAATCGAACTATACATGGATGACGGAATAGCAAAATCTAAATAATAGAAATAATGCGAATGACCCGAATAATCAGGGTGTCGTGCCTCTTGTGCCAGAAGCAGCATTATATGATTGGGCACAACCCACCGCCGAAAATATGGCAATCGCAATTGCAGTCCCTAAGATACAAGCTAAATCATTTCAAATCACAAACAACATGCTATATTTGTTGCAGAACAAGGGACTGTTTGCAGGGTCTTACATTGAAGATCCTCAGCAGTATCTGAAAAATTTTCTGTCGATATGTGTCACGCAAAGGCAAACTGATGTGACACCGGAAGCAATAAAGCTGTTATTGTTTCCATTCTCGGTGACGGGAGAGGCTCAGACTTGGCTTAATTCACTCCCCATAAACTCCATCACTACTTGGGAGGAATTAGTCAAGTAATTTTTGAACAAGTTCTACCCATCCAATAAGACTGCCAAACAAATTGATGAGATATTGAGCTACAGGCAGAGACAAACAGAAACACTACAAGAAATGTGGGAGAGGTTCAAGGGTATGCTGGTTAAGTATACATATCACGGCATTCCAGATCAGATGTTGGGGCGGAGGTTCTACATCAGATTGGTAGACAGCTTAAAGGCCAATGTTGATGCTTCAGCAGGTGGAGCATTTTTGAGCAAATCATTCAGAGAATGTAAGATCCTACTTGATAAAATGGCTCAAAAATCAGGATGGATGACAAGAGACTCTACGATCACTCCTGTAGTTCACTGAGTGGATTTGGACCCAAACAACTCCATAGCCAAAAATATGGCCACTCTGATGACACAAATGAGTATCCTCACCAAAAACATCGATGAATCAGGCCAGAAGCAGCAGGTATACATAGTTGATGCGAATAATGGGGGCTTATGTACACCATGCATTAACCAACCATATGCATGCTCTTGGAGTGCGGAAAGTGACAACCAACACTATCAGGAAGATATGAACTATGTGGCCAACTATAGAGGACAGAGGCAAGGTGGTCAGAATTTGGGGCAACAGAATCAGCAATATAGACCAGTACAACAACAGTACAATAATAGCAGCAATCCTGGAGCTATGCGACCACAGGGTCAAGTTGTGCAGTACCAAAAGCAACAGGGATACAACCAGCAAAATCAACAGCTAGCTTATCAACAGCCTCAACAACATCAAATAGTGAGACAAGAAGATGGGTTGTCTGAAATTAAAGGAATGTTGCAACAACTGATTGGGTCCAATGGAAAAATACAAGAGAAAGTGGACGCATATGAATCAGTGATAAAATTCATTGAGATTCAATTAGGACAGATATCAATGGCTCTGAATAATCTCCCCTAAGGGACGCTACCGGTAGATATACAAGTCAATCCAAAAGAGCAGGGCCCGAAACAGCTTATGGCTGTGAGTCTAAGAAATGGTAGAGACCTAGATCTAGAGCAAGAAATTGCTCGCGAAAGCCGACCAATTGAAACACTTGTGCCAGTACCCATTGAGGTAGATGATTCAACAGGGTTAACTGAGGTGACGATACAATATGCATAAGAGAGCACAAGTAAAAAAGAAAGTGGTTACGAAGGAGACTGAGGTAGCACAAGAAACGACAATAGAAGTAGTGACTGAGCAGGATAAGACTCAAATCACAGGAAGGAAGTGACCTCCAGCACCATTCCCATATAGATTGGCCAAATATCAGAAGAATGAGCAGTATAAGAAATTCATGGAGATGTTGAAACAAATCCAGGTAAACATTCCACTGATTGACGCCTTGAGGGAGATGCCTGGGTATGCCAAAATGATGAAGGATTTGATGTCTCGCAAGTTCGACTTCCAGGACTTGGCCACTGTTACCCGAACCTAGACCTGTAGTGTTATCATGACGAGACCCATAGCTGACAAGTTGTCAGACCCAGGGCATTTCATAATCCCATGCACAGTAGGCAGCTATGCTTTTGCTAAAGCATTGTGTGATTTGGGGGCAAACATAAACTTGATGCTCTTGGCTATCTGCAAAAGGTTAGGCATTGGAAGAGCAAGACCCACATCCATGTTACTACGGCTAGTCGACCGAACAGTGAAGAGTGCATCAGGTATCCTTGATGATGTACTAGTGCAGGTTGGAAAGTTTGTGTTTCCAGCAAATTTTGTCATTCTGGACTGCCGGTTTGACGAGGAGATTCCCATAATTTTGGGAAGACCATTCATGGCCACTGGGAGAGCACTGATTGATTATGAAACTGGAGAGCTAAAAATGAGACTGAATGATAAAGAGATAACATTCAATGTGCAGAAGTCTATGCGGCAACCAAGTGAATTTGCTAACTGCTCTATAATAGAAGCTGTGGATGTAATTTTGGAGGAGGAAGATGAGACTCTGAATGCTAAAGACCCTCTGGCGGCCTGTCTCACAAACTTAGAAGAAGTAAATAGAGAGGACATGGCGGAGTGGGTGCTGGCTCTTGAAGGCCAAGGTTTCTGGAAAAGAGAGCTCAAAATTGAGTCTTTGCATTTAGAAGAAAGAAAGACTCCTCCAGCTAAGCCATCGATCGAAGAGCCACCACAGTTGGAACTAAAACCGCTTCCACCTCATCTCAGGTATGCTTTCTTGGGACCCAACTCTACTTTACCTATTATTATCTCATCTGGTTTGTTAGATGTGCAGGAAGAATAACTTTTGCAGCTATTGATATAGTGAAAAACTGCAATTGGTTGGACCATTGCAGACATTAAGGGTATCAGCCTGGCTTTCTGTATGCATAAGATTTTACTAGAAGATGGCCACAAACCTTCCATAGAACATCAAAGAAGGTTGCACCCCAACATGAAAGAAGTCGTGAAAAAGGAGGTGATAAAATGGTTAGATGCAGGAATCATTTTCCCCATCTCCGATAGTAATTGGATTAGCCCAGTTCAATGTGTGCCAAATAAAGGTGGAATGATTGTTGTGCAAAATGAGAACAGCGAGCTAATCTCAACAAGAACAGTCACGGGATGGCGAATTTGTATGGACTACAGAAGATTGAACAAGGCCACCTGAAAAGACCACTTTCCCTTGTCGTTCATTGATCAGATGCTAGATAGATTGGCTGGGAGGTCCCACTTATGCTTTCTGGATGGATACTCAGGGTATAATCAAATCTCTATTGCCCCGGGAGATAGAGAGAAAATGTCATTCACCTGTCCATATGGCGTCTACGCTTTCCGGAGAATGCAGTTCGGCCTATGCAATGCACCCACCATATTTCAAAGGTGCATGATGGCCATCTTCACAGATATGGTAGAAGACATAATGGAGGTCTTCATGGATGATTTTTCAGTGGTGGGAGACTTATTCGATGATTGCCTAAAGAATCTGAAAAGAGTGCTGAAAAGATGTGTCGAGACTAATCTGGTGCTCAATTGGGAAAAGTGCCACTTCATGGTACAGGAAGGTATAGTCTCAGGGCACCTAGTGTCAAGTAAGGGCATTGAGGTGGATCGTGCAAAGGTTGATGTGATAGAAAATATACCACCACCCACTTCCGTCAAAGCAATAAGAAGTTTCCTTGGCCACGCCAGTTTCTACAGACGGGTTATAAAAGATTTATCCAAAATTGCTAACCCCTTGTGTAAACTGCTTGAAAAAGATCACCGTTTTGTGTTTTCTGATGACTGCAGGGTAGCATTTGAGGAGTTGAAGAAGAAATTGGTGATTGCACCAATCATAGTGGCCCCCGACTGGGGGCAACCTTTCGAGCTGATGTGCGATGTAAGTGACTATGCTGTGGGAGCAGTTCTTGGGCAGCGAAAAGATAAAATCATGCATCTGATCTACTATGCAAGTAGAACCTTGAGCGACGCCCAACTGAACTACACAGTGACAGAGAAAGAGATGGTAGTTGTGGTGTTCGCATTTGATAAATTCAGGTCATACCTGATAGGCTCAAAGGTAATTGTTTACACTGACCATGCTCAAAGGAGTCAAAGCCGCTCCTAATTCGATGGGTGCTACTGCTACAAGAGTTCGACTTGGAAATCCGGGACGGAAAGAGAATAGAAAACCAAGTTGCTGATCATTTGTCCAGTCTTGAAGGAGCGAAAAAGAAGGTTGAGGTGGAGGAGATCATGGAGAGTTTTCCAGATGAACAACTCTTAGCAATGAGCCTCGGTCTACACCATGGTATACATATATTGCAAATTACCTGGCAAGCGGTATTGTTCCCTATGACTTGTCTTCCATGCATTTCTGGGATGAACCATATTTGTTCAGGATTTGTCTTGATAACATGATCCGGAGATGCATTCCCGAGATAGATCAATCTTTTGTTTTGCATGCATGTCATGCTTCACCGTATGGAGGACATTTTGGAGGTGTAAGGACGTCGACTAAAGTGTTGGATTCAGGTTTTTATTTGCCGACGCTATTTAAAGATGCACACTTCTGGGTGAAAAGTTATGATGAATGCCAATGGACGGGGAATATTTCCCGTCGACATGAGATGCCCATAAACCCAATTCAAGAGGTGGAAGTATTCGATGTATGGGGAATCGACTTTATGGAAACATTTATCAGCTCATATAATAACAAATACATACGTGTAGCGGTGGACTATGTCTCGAAATGGGTAGAAGTCATGGCACTTCCAACAAATGATGCGAAGGCACTTATTGGCTTCCTGAGAAAGAACATCTTTACCCGATTTGGCACTCTAAGAGCTATCATCAGTGATGGGGGCACCCACTTCTGCAACCGAGCCTTTGAAAAGTTGTTGGAGAAATATGGCGTTCGCCATAAAGTTGCTACTCCGTATCACCCACAAACAAGTGGGCAAGTCGAGGTGTCAAACAGAGAAATCAAGAGTATTTTGACCAAAACTATAACTGCTACTCGGACTGATTGAGCGAGAAAATTAGATGATGTGCTATGGGCTTGCCGCACTACATTCAAAACTCTGATTGATATGTCACCGTATAATTTGGTGTTTGGAAAGGCATGTCACTTGCCGGTAGAGTTAGAGCATAAAGCCTTCTGGGCATTGCAACAATTAAATCTGGATGTGGAGGCCGCTGGAACTAGTAGAATCACAGAGCTGCATGAACTTGATGAGTTTCGTTACCATGCTTTTGAGAGTACAAGGTTATACAAGAAAAGAATGAAACTGGTGCACGATAAAAACATTCTTAAGCAAAATTTTAAGCCGGGAGATGTGGTGCTATTATTCAATTCGAGATTGATGTTATTTCCGGGCAAATTGAAGTCAAGATGGTCAGGACCATTTCGTGTGCTAGAGATTCATCCCACCGAAGACGTAGAGATTGCTTCAGAAGATGGCTCTCATAAGTTCAGAGTCAATGGTCACAGATTGAAATATTATTTGGGCATGGATGACACGAAAGTAGTATTGGTGACTCATTTGTTGGAACCACCAATGTTGAGCGAGCCTTAAGTCGATTGCCTGCGTCATGCCGCGACGTTAAATCAGGTGCTTCATGGGGGGCAATCCATTATAACGTTGTATTCGTCATGTCATGACGTTAACTAAGGCGCTCATTGGGAGGCAACCCAATTCGTAGTTGCTTTTTAGTGTAGTTAGAATTTTTTTGTTCATTTTTTGGAACTAACATGTTTGCAGGTAATTTCGGCAAGTCGTACACTTCACTTCGCGTTGCCTGTTCCCCAGCGAGCTGGTCCAGGCGTTAAGCCTTGCGTCGCCTGATGGAAAGCTCGCATGGGAGCTTGCCTCGAGAGGGAAAGAGCGAGGTGCATCTCGCGTTAGGACTCGCGCCGCACGCCCAAGAGCTCACGTTGGAGCTCGCTTCGAGAGGGGTAAAGCGAGGCAGCAACCTCCCGTCGCCAGGTAAGTGCATTTTTCGGGGATTTTAATTTTTTTCCCTTATTTCTTTAACCCTCTCCCTTAAAAATCTAACCTAAACGCCCAAACCTCACTTCTCACAAAACATACTCAAGCACACATCCTCACTGTTCATGCCAAAAACTCTGCCAAACTCCCTCCCTCACAACCTCATTGAAGACAAGCAATCTTCTGCTCTTTCCTTCACCTGCAACATCAATTCAAAGGAAAATCCCTCCTCTTAAACATCTAAGGTATGATTTCAACCTCCATTCTCTGGCAATTTTGAGTTGGGTGAATGCATGACATTGGACACAAATTTTGGGGTTGTTCTTCATTGTAACAATGTGTTTGTGTGTCCCAGCCCCATGATCCCCATATGAATGGTGTCGTACGGAACTCCCAAGCTGAGTTGGGAGGGTGAGGCAATCCCTCACCCCTACAAGCACTCCCATGGCACTAGTGCATCCTAAGTGTTTGTCATAATGCCTCAAAGGCATTCTTTGTCCCCATTGGAGCCCGAGTCTTCGGGATAATAAGACTAGTGCTATGTAGTCATGCACCACTTTAAAATTTTAAGGGTGTGGTGTCTCACTAGTAACCCGATGCTTTGAAATTGGAGGAAGCACCCATGTGTCATTGCTTGATTCTCATACTAAGAAACGATGAGGTGAAGTCTGAGTAACCTCGGAAATTGTTGATAATCATGTGTTAAACTCTTAAGTGTGGGGTGGAAAGACCATGTTTTGACATGTTGCAATGCACCTTAAACTGATTCATGCTCACTTGTGTAGGTACGAATATGCCTCCAAGAAAAGACACCGGTAAAGGTAAAGCCACATCCACTGCTCCGTCTAAAGCTAAGGCTACCTCCGTACCTCCCCCGAAGAAGAGAAAATTGGGGAATTTACTTCTAGTCAAGGTGAAGGACTGCAAGCCGTGGCAGCTATAGCAGCCACTCATCCACAACCTCAAGGGCAGTAGGAGTTTGGACTCAAAAGCATACCCCCACACACTAAGGATTGGTACAGGCGTTGTAGGCCAAAACATGTACATCCAGAAGCTGCTATTCATGAGCATCGCCTGCAAGCCAAGTACTAAGCAATGTGGAGAGGCATCAATGATTTGGGGTTGAGTACAGGGGATATAAATCTCAATCTGGTTCGTGAATTCTATGTCGGGTTTGATCCAAAGGATCCTGAACAGCTGGTGCCGATTCGTGGACTGTTGATAGATTTTTTAGCCACGGCAATATTTAATTTCTCAGGTACTACGGATGTTCCTCAGGAGACATTGGACTACTTCATGGCCCGTCCTATATATCGAGAGCTGAGACACACTCTTTGTGGTGTCAATTCTATGGTAGCTTATGTTCGGGATAATAAAACAAATCGGCACAGGAAATTCCCCAAGAAGAATATGAGGGCAGAGGCTCGAGTATGGCTGAAACTGATTAATACACGGCTCCTACCTTGCAATCATGACACGCTTATTAGCCGTGAGAGGATGTGTGTACTATATTTCCTCATGACGGGTCAGAGGGTGAATGTGGGTCATTTGATCTGTTACCAGATGTCTCTAGTAAGAACTAGTAAGAGGATCAATCGAATGCCATTTGCAAATATGTTAACTCAGTTCTTGAGACATGAAGAGGTTGAGGAGGAAGCAGCTTTCGATCACATCATTGATCAGCCCCTAAGACTAATGGACATTACAAGTATCCGGGTTAAGTAGGAGACTGCTATGTCATCAATGACTGGTGTCGAGTGCAATGCTCGCGATGACAGCTTTATGGCCCATTTATATGGGATGATGGACTTGCAACTTTGGATTGGGGAGCGGACGGCCACTATAGAGGAGAGGGCCATATTGGAGCAAGGATTCCCACTCAATGCTCATGCTCAGCAGCTGGTTGGGCTTGGTGAGGGATACAGACTCCCAGACGATGAGGATGTCAACACACCTGAGTAGTCCAAGGCCAAGCCGGAGCTATCAGATGATGAGGATGATGATGAGGAGGAGGAGGAGGAGGAGGAGGAAGCACAAGATGAGGAATGGACAGCCTCAGAGGAGGAAGGAGATGACACAGCTTGATCAGAGAGTTTTCCTACAACCTACTCATTGTTTTTCTTATTTTGTCAATTTGTATATGCACTGAGGACATTGCATGAATTAAGTGTGGGGTGGTAACTTGTAAATATTAGTCTTGTTTTATTTATATTTTTTAGTTAGGTCGTCTTAGCCTTTTAAAAAAATGAAAAAATTGGACTCTTCCCGACGATGGATCTCCTAGACAGTTTTCTTAAGGGAATTAAGTCTAAATAAAAAAACCAAAAAGATTTTTTTGTATGTAGTGTAGTAATTCCCCCTTGGTTTTTATTTGGGCCACGGTTCTTTTCCTAGGTATTTTAGTTGAACCGGGTGTAGTTAGTTTTAATTCTTAGGAGTAGAAACCACTGGTCTATGAATTGAATTACAACGATATCTCTTGACTATGTTATGCCTTGAGAATAGTGAGTACTCTGATTGTGATGCTTAGGCTCAGTTTTTGATTCTAGTATAAGTACCTTAAATCGTAGATTCTTAAATTTGCTTAACTGCTTTGACTGGAGTGTCGTGATAAAACCAATCATGATTTATGTGTCATGTGTGTGAGAGATTTGTATGAATTCTGTGCACTACAGTTGATGTCTAGAACATGCCCCGTGTGTGTGCAAAGTGAAATAATAGTCTTGTTCAGTATGGAAAGTGATATAGGAGTTTCTTTGTTGAGCCAGATATATATAGTTTACCCACCTAAATATTATGTAACGTAGTTAACCCGTTTGAGCCTATAATCCTGTTTCTTTGGTAACCACATTACAAGCCTTACCCCTTTGTTTTAATAGACCATATATTTGAACCTTGTCACCTCTCATGAGCACTTGAATTGTGATGATTTATGTAAATATAAAAGGGTGGGGTGGTGGTTTGGCTTTTGAGTAGAACTAATGAAATAAGGAGAAAGGTGCACCGTTTTTTAAAAAAAAAAGAAAAATATATCAATAAAAGCCACTTGGATTGAAGAAAAAAAATATATATATAGTTGTATTGTATGAAAAATAATTCTTGATGGTGGTGGCTAGTGATGTAATTGTGCTTAAAGAAATATGGGGTAATATACAGTGATGTGAAGGTGGAGTTTTGGTTTGACATAGGTATGGGCTTGAGTGTTAAAGTATATGTATTAAGGTGCTTAAGGGAGGTGTAGTCACTCATATCCAAATGTGTAACGACCCGGCCGGTCGTTTTGAGTGTATTAGCCCCGATCCCCTATTTGCTATTTTCTTCGTATCTGTTTCTGCTTATGTGACTTGCCAGGAGGTCTTGTTTTTGGTTTCGGAGTATTTTGGGACACTTAGTCCCTAAAACGGAAGCTAAGTCTCAGGATTTTTGGCCGTAGTCAGAATTGTGTGCAAACGACTCCGGAATGGAGTTTTGTTGGTTCCGTTAGCTCCGTGGGGTGATTTTGGACTTAGGAGCATGTCCGGACTGTGAATTTTTTTTTTTGTAGTTAATTTAGGCTTGAAATGGCAAAAGTCAAATTTTGGAAAGTTTGACCGAGGGGTTGACTTTTTGATATCGGGGTCGGATTCCGATTCCTGAAGTTGGAATAGGTCCGTAATGTTGAATATGTCTTGTCTGCAAAATTTGAGGTCAATCGAACGTGGTTTGGTAAGTTTCGGCGTCGTTTGTGAAATTTGAAACTTTAGAAGTTCTTTAAACTTGAATCTATGTGTAATTGGTGTTTTGATATTGTTTTGAGTGATGTGAAGGTTTGGCTAAGTTCGCATGGGGTTATATGACTTGTTGGTATGTTTGGTTGAGGTCCCGGGGACGTCAGGGGTGTTTTGGATGCCCATCGGAAGGAAATTTAGACTTAGGCATTGCTGGTTTCTTTCTGGTTTATGAGGTTTTTTACCAGTGGTGGGAGCCCGCAGGTGCATCCCCGCAGAAGTGAAGGGGAGGACGTAGATGCGGGCAAGGGGGGGCAGATGTGGATGAAGGCCTGAGTGGGAAGGATCGCAGAAGCGGGTATGGCCTGCAGGTGCGCACCCACAGGTGCAAATGAGTGACCGTAGATGCGAAGTCTGGTAACTTAAGTGGGATCCGCACCTGCGATGGAATTTCCGCAGGTGCGGCATCGTAGATGCGACAGAATTTCTGCAGGTGCTGTAGAACTGGGCAGAAAATGGAACTTTGAGGGTTTTATTCCCATTTCGATTTTGGGACTTTGAGAGCTCGGTGTGAGGCGATTGTTCGAGGTTTCTTCAAGAAAATTATTGGGGTAAGTGATTCTAACTCGGATTGGACTATATTTCATGAATCTATTGCTATTTTCATCATCTAATTAGGGATTTGAGTTGTAAATTTGGGGGAAACTGCTAGAAACTTCATACGCTAAAGTTTTGAGTTTGGAAGGTGATTTGAGGTTGGATTCGAGTAATTCTTGTATGGTTGGACTCGTGAGTGGATGGGTATTCATATTTTGTGACTTTTGTCATATCTCGGGACGTGGGCCCGGGGGCCAGTTTGAGCCTATTTCGGATTTTGACTTATAATTTCGTGTTTCTCTTGTGGAATTGATTCTGTTAGCCTACATTAATTATATTGTACTGCTTATGGCTAGATTCGGGGCATTTGGAGATTGATTCGAGGGGCAAGGGCATTGCAGAGTAGGATTTCTACGCGGTTGAGGTAAGTAAGAGTCTTAAATCTGGTTTTGAGGGTAAGAAACCCCGAGAATTGGTATGATGTGAGTGTTTGGAGATGACGCACATGCTAGGTGACAGGCGTGTGAGCATACACCGCGAGGGATTGTGACT